CGAAAAGTGCGATTTTTGTCTAGAAGAATTTGATAATTCTTATCACCTATTTAAGATGATATTTATGGATTTGGTACTACATTCCCTTAGATCAGTGATCGTGTAGGTAAGTTCCGCATTTTTAACATGACAGACACTTAAACATTAACAATAAGAAAACAAGTACATGGCTCTATTGAACTCAAAATACGAATGGTTTTATACTTCGTATATTATTCGTGATGTCAACCTTGAACAATCATAACGTTCTTGAAATTGTAATAAAAAGAAAAGAATAAAACGATTCTGTTAATCTAATATGTATTTAGTAAGTGTATACGGTATATCGAGTAGCAAACATAGAAAGAACTAAAATTATTCGCAAACTCGGTATTCCTATCAATCTTATTGCATTTGTAAAAGTTTATCAAAGATTGTAAATGTATAATGAAATATATCTGATAATAAAAATACTAATGGAAAAACCAGAAAATGAAATTTAGTGAATATCGAACATTATGCGCAGTATCGATGAGTTTTATTGCTCAAGTTGTGAGTTAAACAGCTGCGAATGGAAAAATCGTTTATGTACACGTACTAAATTAGTTAAGTGTCTTTTAATATTATTATATATTCTATTGATAAGATATAGAAGGATGTAATTCCTGGTCAAGTTACATTAATTTATATTAATTGAAGTTTTTGAAGCAACGTTTGTGTCGAATATATGTTTCTGTTTAAATTTCATTAAATAATATTAATATAATATTTTTATAAATATGTGTATCGTATGTAATATTACCCAACCTTATCTATTTAGTGAAGAGATTCTTAAGTAACTTAATGTGTAATAAGTTTCATACAAATATTTTTCGTTGCATTTCGTTAATTTGAATTCTTTTTGTCTCTTACCATGACAGGTAAATTTATGAAAATCTTAATTGCTGATCCACTTCATATTGTCTAAATTATCTAGTAAATATATGGTAAATTTTATTATAATAATTTCGGTTAGATAAAATATGTGTATACATCTCAATTATAACTGTTCAAAAAGTCTCTAGAAATTATAATTTGAATAAAAATCCATAGTTTACTAATAATTAATTATTAGTTGATTTAATTATAAGCAGTTTCAATCCATTACATATTATTACGTATCTTCTGAATTGAGTATTTATGAAAATATAAAATGTTAAGATATTTTATATTTATAATGCTAAAGATGAAAGACCAATGTATTAATGTTACTAAAGTTGTACGTATTAAAGATAAAAATTTCGTACAAATATTTTTTTTACATTTTCTTGGATGAGATTCACTTTTTCAGTATTAATGAGGTGAACAACCATTTAATTTTTCAATTGAGAATGGAATGTTGATAGATATATAATCGACTATTCTATCTTAAAAATCCCACAGAATATAAAACAGTGAACCATTATGCCTATAAATAAAACCGATGACTAATTAGAACTGTAGCTCAAGTTACATACGTTTATCAGCATGATACACTTAGCACTTCCTCAAAGGAACAATAATTTCATTCAGATCACGGCCTATATCGTTCACCTTTTTAAATACTGCAATAATAATGTATTTTTTATTCGAATATTATTCTTCATAAATCATAATATATATTATTTAATTCTTATCTATTTTATTTGCCTGTTTTACTATTATTTCCTCAGTTATAAATTAAATTATATTATTTCAATTTTCAAGAAAAAAATATGTTAACACTATCTTCTGGGCCAAACTTTATTTATAAGTAATTATGTAAACAAACTATATACTTACATAATATTTCTTACATTATACATAAGAAAATGGATTCAGTTTTAATAAGAACATAATGTACTTGTTACTCGCTTCTTATTTAAATTTTCAATCCAAAATATTATTATTTTCTTATCAAAATTGGATGGTTTTGCAGTCCTGCGTCATATTAAATATTAATTTATTGCACGAATTCACTTCAACTTTGTAATTTCTAGAAAAGATGGGGGAAGATTCGTGTCTGCTACCGCAGTGGTCCAAAAGCATTAATTTTAAGTCCCGAGAATTGAGATTTATGAGGTCAGATCACCCGGCTCTTACATATTTGAGAACACTCGTGCACTTTGTAACAATCAGAGTTAAACGAGGCGAGTAAGAGAAAACGGGTCGTGGTTAAATCTTGCGAATAATTCAATAAGGGTTGGAGTGGCGCTTCCGCAAAATGAAAGGCATCGTAGCATGTCTGCAATGCGACAAACGCATTGGCCTCGTCTACCGTTAGATATTCATAACGACGTGACAATAATTCGTATTTTTTAATGAGATTGAGAGAACCGTGTAAACGATATTATTAGACGAAGATCTTTGTGACGATATCTGTATTTTTCAAGATTCTTATTGATATGTAATAAATCTTCTTCAGTAGACAAATACAGATTACACAGATTTCCATTTTCATTAATTTTGTTATAAATAGCACGCGAGGAAAATTGACTTCGCTAATTAAGAATTTCGTTACATCAAAAAATAAATTCAGAGAATTATTTATATTCATTGATGTGTATTTACATGTTTCATAGTACTTTATATGTTTGCGTATACTCCCAATGCACAAGGATCCGCTATCTAATTGTAATTATAATATATATGTTTAAAATTGATTAGTGGTAGTCGTTTGTATTTAATAATCTTATGTATTTTGTGGATTGATTTGTTACATTTGAGAATGTTTAGAAATAATACATTGTAAGGAGTAACATACAGTTTGATCATTTTTGTTTAATTCTAAACTACCGATTGTAATTACATATTACAAGTATTTAAGAGTAGTACGTAGTGTTTTGTATATTTGTATTAACGAACTGTAATAGTTTATACATATATATAAGATATAAGTTACAGAAATTCAAAAATAAAAATGTTAGTAAATAATAATTTGAAATTTCAATGATACTGTTTATCTTATTTTTAAACGCCATAGTCCTTAATTTAATGGTGCAGATCAGATAAAGTATTCACAATTCAGGTAACATAGCATTTAACAATTATACAATAGTCAATTATACAATAGTACTGACATTAAAGCATTACGTAAAAGTTAAAAGAATTCTTACATAATCATTAGATGGTGCTATTAAAAATTTTCTCAAGAAAAACATGTATAAAATAAAGTTATATTTCGAGAAGGCAAGAATATGTAAAATTTCGAAAAAGTAATTTTACAGTTGTAGACGTGTAGGTTAATATTGATGTAAATTTCATGGATGTGCGTGCATATGTATGGGTGTAGCGTGCGTGTATGCGTTGTTTTGGATAAACGCGAAAAAAAAAGAAAAAGATATTGAAAAAAAAAGTTTGTGTTGACAACGAAAAATACATAGAAATTGACATCGTTTAAATAAACGTCTATACAGTGTAATGTTTAAAGTTAATAAAGTTCTTATATATCGAACATAGAATTGCTTTGTGTATTTTGAAAAACGAAGATCTGTATCTCAATTTTTTATTAAAAGGTCACTTGATATTTTTGATTGAAGCTTTAGACTCGAAAAATTTCGTCTTTGTAAAGTTTCGCACACAAAATGTGATAATCAATAATATTTATTTTATTATTGTTCGTACTAACGAGCAATCAGACCTTTCTTTTAGTAAAACAGTAGAACAATATCAAGAACGAATATTATTGTAACAGTTTATTTATATTTAAAATACAAAAGATAGAAAGAGCTCAAGTTAACACGTAATTAACACAATAGTTACATTGTATCTTCCACATTCAATTTAATAATTTCTTAAACCTTTAACATATTTTCGTATTTATGAAACGTATAATAAATGTCCAATGAAATTCTGAAGTTTATTTTGAAGCATGTAGCTTCTCGATGTCCAGGTCTAACGTTGTAAGGTTAAATCTTGAATCTGAAACTGCATTCTACTTACTACGGTATTTTTTACAAAGATATAAGAAGAGAAAGCCTTCTCCTTGCTCCATATTTCTAAATGGCAACACAAACATTAGCGCCTTGTTAGAAAGTTGTTTGTATTCTGTTTTATTCCTCTCACAACTATATTTGTTGAAACTCTTTCTTCTGTTATATTATTTTTTTGCGAACTCCAATGTGGAAACGGCTACAATAAACAAGCACATAGTTAATACTAATGCCAACATCACATTATTGAATTCAAACATTTAAAAATAATAATCTTTTTATCAATAAATCCTTTGGAATTTAATAACAGAGTTTAATTAACGAATTTGATTCATATTAGGATATGCAGAACAAAATAAGCGTAACAAATTAACACTAGAACTACTAAATACTTAAACTGACTTTTTAACATTCACTTATAGAAACTAATTTGCGACTTCTACAGCGGAAAGTTCTTTATTTTAATCAACAGATCATTACAAGACTAATATTTCAAATCAAATTTTCGAATTTTGGTTTCTGTTTTAATGTCAGAAATTCGCAACAATTAACTTACGATTTTCTTCATTTTCACCGGCAATGAGTATCAGGAAAGCGGAAACTTTGCTGGTCGCGAATGTGTTAAGATTTCAATTGGCTTATATTTCAGTTTAGGTATTCCTAAATCAGCTTCTTTAACACTAAACGTATCGACACTTTATATATATATATATCTATTCCTACTGTAACCAGTCAAATAATTGAGTATAAAATAATGGTGAACAAGTTAGACGATAAATCTTGCTTATTGAAAGCAGGAACAGAAGGAAAGACAACAATTGAAAACCTGATTAATCGAACAATACAGGGTGGATCACAAGAAACAGAACACCCGAATATTTTTGTTGGATTTAAAGATATGAAACACGTGTGTGTATATCAAAATTAGAATGGTTTCGAAGGATGCACATCGCCATCATAACACTAAACTACCAAGCAATTAAATTAACCTTTTGAAATTCCTCTACAAAAATTCTAAGATTGCATCTATTGAGA